GCCTCAGCTCCAGCGTCAGCGAAGTCAGGCCGTTGTACAGGCTCTTGATGCTAGGGACGGCCAGGCCGTCGGTGGGCCCCCGCTCGGGGGTCGAGCGCTTCCGCCGGGAGCTGCCGCGCCTGCTGCTCTTCTTCTCGGGCGAGAGCGCGGCGGAGGTGAGGTCGAAAATCCCCGAAAGGGGATCCCCGGCGGACATTTCAGGGGGCACGTACGGGATCGAACGCCGTCCCGTTGTGCTGCCTATATCATTACTTGACTGAAATATTTGCATTTTCTTAAGGTTAGAAACAGCCATGGGAAAGAGTTGGCGCAGGCGACACCTCATCACGCAAAGAAAAAGGACAACAACAACACAGACCCCTATTGGGAATAAATTCAGGTAAAGTAAAGCTAGACGGTCGCATTAGGTTCACTTTTTATATCGCGTTAATTATTCAAAAAGCGAAGGAATACTGACAACCGAATTCCTTCCAAAAAATGCACGTCCTTGTATAGCATGTGGGAAAACTTAAAAAAAAATAAGGGTGTATTTTGAATTCAATAAAAAAAATAAACTTGGAGCGTATAGAAATCGAGATGAACAAAAAAAAATACAAATATCGTTTTAAATTTCTAAACAATATCCGTCATGCACCATAAAACAAAAAAAAGTTCATAATGTGCACTTGACTACTTCTAAACACTTTATTTCTTTAATATGGCAAATAAGTAGTCAAGTTCGTGGACGATCTTATCGATTGCCCTACATTTTCTAGTTATAGTGCGTACATGGAATTATCAGTGTGGGTTGGTCATTTAGGAAGCACTGGGAAAGGAAACGTTTTTGATCGTTAAGGTAAGAATATCGCGGTTATGGAATGTATTAAATCCTGTTCAAATTTATTTGAACAAACCTATTGATTCGTAATAAAAACGATAGTATCGTGTTGATTCGTTTTTGGTGTATAGGCCGTTCACCTTCCAGTGCATGATCACCGTCTTCAAGCGCAATGTATGAATGAACACATTACACTATCAAGCATTTTCACACTTTTTTGAACAACAATTTTTTTATTGGCGATAAAATATCAAAATTACACCCCACAAGGTCGCTGCGCTTAATATTCGACCGATTCTTAACTTCGACTTGGTCTTAACCAGAACAGACTTTCATATCAATTTCCAGAAAAATTGGAGTGTTGAATTTAAAAATAAAAGTCGATTTCCACCGTGCAGTGGGGAAAAAGTACCCAAAAAACAACTCCTTTTTCCTGTACACAAAAATTGAAGAGCAATAAAAACACGCAAAGAACGATTGGTTGGGAAACTATTTAAAATAATAAAAAGGGTTTTATACCTCCCTTTCTGTCCAAATTCTTTTATCCTGAACTTTAAATTCTAAAGCGTCGATAAGAATTCGAAATAAAAATTACAACCGACGCTTAGCTGGTAAACAGTATTGAAAAACCCTTTGATCCTCTATTTGGGTAAAAGACAATAACATTGGTAGAAAGTTCGACAAATTGAAAGGTTTCAGTCTTAATGTACTAAATAAAGTAATTAAGTCATACAATAATATATATATATATATATTATTGTTTTTATTTATTAAATTGATAATTGTATTCAATAAAATGAAATATGTGAAAAGCAAAAGATTTTTCAGAAATGTTGTGAGGAATAGTAAGATGTGATGCACTAATATCCCAATTATATTACTAAAGAATAGCATTTCTTTTTTAATTATTCATGCTATGTAATGAAAAATAATTAATAAAGCTATCTAATAGAAAGTAGAAGAAGAAATTCTCACACCCTCTCTCTCCAAAAAAAAAAAAAAAAAGAGGCGAATCATTAAAAATGGTATAAACTTCACTGTATGGAGTATTGATATCACATATAACGCACCCACTCCTTTGTCTCCCCTAAACTCCATTTACAGGGGTCAAAATACCTGATAAAATGAACCCCCTCTCCAAAAGGG